ATAATTTCTCCAATGCCTCTTCTGTTATCCAAATTGGCAGTGATCTTAAGTGTCGTATTGCCGCTTTCGTACCAAATAAGGTTCATTTGTAGCTTTTGTTGATATCTTATATTTGTCTTTAATTTGAATCCACTTTAATGTCTTTGAGTGGCAAGATGGATTTCGTTATTTAGTGGATCAAGCGTTACTGTTGTGTGGGTGATCAAGTATTGCTATTATGTACTGAGTGATTCATTAAAATGATTGCCGGATAATGAAACACTTCTCTTTCTCAGGTGAACGCTGCAGAGAGAATACAACAAAGACAGCAGTTATGGGAATTACAGGTTGAGGCTCAAGGAAACGGTGATGTATCACAATTCGGTGATTCCGAACCACCGTATACAAAAACTCAAAACGATTCATGAAAAAATGTTCATTTTTTAACATACATAACATGTATTGATAATTCCTGTTATGTTTTATTGTGCAGTAGCGTATAGCTAGGTTATTAAATAAATAAATAAACTACCATGCAGACAGCACTTATGCAACATCAACGAAATATCTTCCCTCACTGAACGCTCAAATATGCAGAAACATTTGTTGCGCATTCCAACGCCCCATTGTAATGGTGATCGCATTCAGGAATCAACGTTACTATAGAGACATTTTTAGCCGTAAATGTCTTTCATCTAATCCAATGTGTGACTAATTATGCGGTTACGAAACAACAAATTAACACCACGTTCTCGCACGGGAATCTCACCAAGTGTTTATAAATCAAACTTGTTAGCTAGAGTGTATTTAAACGTTCATGGTATTCGTGATTATTCTGACTAAATATCTTGAACTGCTCGGGAACTTGCTTGATTGACTGCATATGATTGAAATTGAGGAGTCCAGAAATAAATACATCATCACCATTGCGTTTTGTGCGATATTTAGGGTGTGTGCTTTGGCGAATCATTCAGTTGTTGCAGGGCACCGCCCACTTTCACATCACCTTAACTAGTAGATTAGCACTGCAAGAAAACCATTGTTTAGCTTAATGGTGGAATGGTTTAAATTGAAATCTAATGTGAACTCAGAATCTTTCACAAGTTTGTGGTTGTTAGTAGGGCGATGTCATTTAGGAATCTAAACTGCAAATTCAGCTTGACATCTTTTCAGCATATCAATGAACGGTTTTACAAATCTGCGGAAATGTGTAAAATGTCCCGAGCCAGGTACATTGTGCGGTTTAGATCCTTCGAAAGCATCATATTGCAAATCGTGTTTTATTCAAATGGTTAAACACAAATTCAGTTCCAATATTGGCAAGCGAAGGTTATACAAGGTACTCTTGTTTTTTATCTTAAGTTTGCCCCAAAATTTATTTGTAAGTAACTGCCGGGATTTCTTGCGTCCATCAATTAATCTAGTTCGAAACTACTTGATGTTCAGGATGGAGAGAAACGAGAAACAATCGTAGTTTATGAAGGAGATCCATCATCTGCATTTCTT